AAAAACATTCGTATAAAAATCAAAAATTTTATCGGTAAAATTTTACCACTAGTTGTAGTATATACGAAAAAAACACGGGTAACAAAATTAATTATAAAATTAATTATAAAATTAATTATAAAATTGGCAACAGATCCCTTGTGAATGTAAACGTTTTGTCAGATTAGGCATTATTTTTGATGAAAAATTGATTTCTTTGATAAGTTTGTATATAATGATAGGTTTTATTTTTAGAAATACTAGACAAATATCAAAAATCAATAAACCTTATTGAAAATGCCAAAATAAATTTCTAAAACTATATTATTTTATACTAACTGTTATTTATACCATACTCAAGATTTAAGACATAACATGGAATATCAGATGGTAATACCTACTAACAAGAAGAAAATATTACTGCTCTGTTTGTATTTATAAAATAATTACCTTTTAGTCTAAAAGTTTTAGATGGTCCTGATATTTTAAAACTTATTAATATAAAAGTACTGATACAAGATTAGGCAAATTTAAAACAAATTTAAAAGAATTGTTGTTAAGTATTTAATATTAGTGGTATTATGCAAATTTAATAAAATAAATAAATGAATGAATGAATGAATGAATGAATGAATGAATGAATAAATGAATGAATGAATGAATGAATAAATGAATGAATGAATGAATGAATGAATGAATGAATGAATGAATGAATGAATGAATGAATGAATGAATGAATGAATGAATGAATGAATGAATGAATGAATGAATGAATGAATGAATGAATGAATGAATGAATGAATGAATGAATGAATGAATGAATGAATGAATGAATGAATGAATGAATGAATGAATGAATGAATGAATGAATGAATGAATGAATGAATGAATGAATGAATGAATGAATGAATGAATGAATGAATGAATGAATGAATGAATGAATGAATGAATGAATGAATGAATGAATGAATGAATGAATGAATGAATGAATGAATGAATGAATGAATTAATGAATGAATGAATGAATGAATGAATGAATGAATGAATGAATAAATGAATAAATAAATAAATAAAGCTTTTGTTCTAATTTAACACAATTTGTAAAATACATTTTAAAAATGTTTTAATGTTTCTTACTTTTCTTAAAGATTTATTTTTGCTATTAAATTACTGTGCATTTGATTTTCTAAACTGCACAATAGTAGGTACCTTACCCTATTATACTTTTGGTTTAATTCTAAATTGAAAAATTGATTGAAAATTAAAAGGGCAATTATCAACTCCCCTACCAAATGAAAACGTTAAAGAAATAATTTAGAATTGATTAAAGTTGGAGTAGCACAAACGCATACCCGCGGTCTCTCTCTCTTATTTAATAAGTGTGGCCAATCGTTCAGTTTTGCTAATAGAGTAGAGATCAAAGAGCTCTCCAGTTTTAATTCCACTTTATCTAGAGGGCGTAGCGCGTCTATCTAAAGCAATAAAATGCTAATGCGTGTTTGTCGACGTTAATCGGCCGTTTCGGCGCGCCGCACGTCGAACGGCGGGCGATTTTTGCCACGGCTTGCCGCGGCTGCTTCCTTTGGATGGCTGGACCCTCAACAACGTTCTGTCAGAGATTTTGTTTGGTTGCATTTTTTTTATATTGTGGGGACTAAGGCCATAATATTTTCAGCAATAATAACCACAGGAATTAGTGACTTTTTCATTGATTTATTTATAAACGTATATGTCTACACAAAGAGAACTGTTAAGAATGAGTGCTTGTGTGTTTGGTAATGATTTCCAAACTTTTGGGTTTAAGCCTTAATTTACTTTATTTTTCAGTAATCATGATTAATGCATTAACTAAACAGTTCTCTCCGTGTTATACCTACATGTATGTTTTTCAAAAATACAGGGTGTCATGTAATAAGTTTTTATCCCTTGGGTGGATGATAGTTCAGGCCAAAGTAAGCAAGTTTTTTCTCTATCTGGTCATATAGTCCAGGAAACAAAGATTGGAGAAGGAAAAATCGATGGTAGTCGGTTTTTTTTTTATGTAGTCAGGGGTGCTGATAATGAATTAAGAATATTCCCCAAAAATTTCTTTCCGCGTCCACTAATTTCATCCCCGGAAAGGGAAGTTTTTTTGCTTTTTGGCTCATAACTCGCTAACCGTGCATTTTTTCAGAATTTGACCTCTTATACTTTTGATTATGTACTAAATAAGGCACACGTTAAACCCCATTGCGCAAGTTGAGCTTTGCTTTCAAAATAATTTTTTTCTTTTTTTATTATAGCCCAATTTTAAAAGTAATCGAACATAACCGAATGGACGATTTTTTGAGATACTATACTTTTTTCAAAAGTTACTGCTTTTCAATTTACAGGGGGTTATTTAAAAAAAAAAACATGTTTTATTTCCCAAACGGCTTTAATGAGCCAGTTCGGTCTACCCTAGATTTTTAGGTACACTTATCCTCGTATCAAACCCGTGGTTTCTTTTAAATTATTTTCATTGCAAGTGCCCCACAAAAATTAAAGTTTTGAAAAAAGAACTCCCAGTACATTGAAAAGCAGTAACTTTAGAAAAAGTCTAGTACCTCAAAAAATCGTCCATTCAGTTATGTTTGATTACCGTAAGGTTTGGGATTGATTACTTTTAAAATTGGGCTATAATAAAAAAACAAAAAAGTGATTTTGAAAGCAACGCTCAACTTTGCACACTACGCATAGCAAAAGGGCACATCATCAAGGTGTATTAGTATTAGAGGTCAAATTATGAAAAAATGCACGGTTAGCGAGTTATGAGCCAAAAAGCAAAAAAACTCCCCTTTCGGGGGATAAAATTAGGGGAATATTCTTGATTCATTATCAGCACCCCTGACTACATAAAAAAACCGACTACCATCGAGTTTTCTTTCTACAATCTTTGTTTCCTGGACTAATACTGTTTTTGAATGAAAAAAATCCTAAAAATTAACGTAACTCTTATGCATTTGATGGACAGCCTCTGGTTTCGTTGCATCGACAGCAGTACCAATAAGAGCCACAATTAAACAACTCACCGAATCTACTTAGTCCGTTGACCCCAACCGCTTACACTTTAGGTCAAGGTTTAAACTGTGTCATGCCAAACAAATGATTTTTTAATTTAAAAACAGCAGCATTAATGCCAAAATGTTATGCGCACTCTTAGACCTACTGCGCACTTTTGGGACAACTTACCATAAGTATGTAGTATGAAAGAAATAAAAATATGTTCGTATAATTCCGTGCTTTTATTATTATTTACAAAATTCACAGCTCTAAATAAAAGACAATAATTCCTTCTTTAAAATTACAATTACATTAATAAACTTATTTATTACTCAACAAAATTTCTTGAAATCGTTAAACAAGTTTTCCGAACTTTGCTATTGGATTGAGTAATAATAAAAAAGTAATTTGGGTAAAACGATAATTCTAACTTTTTTTAATTTAAGTAAGTTTCACATTCAATTATTTACAATTTTTATAAATAATAGTTACAATTATTAACGGCTATGTACAGGTTTTTTGTTTTATATTTTTTAATAAATAATACGAATATACAAAACGCGCTAAATTTTAAGTCTTATACAGTAAATTGCCCCGTGTCCAATTTAATAAGAAACATGAAGAAAAAATTTACAAAAAATGTTATATTTAATGTTTTTATTAAATTAACAAATCGCTCCCCAAATATAACAAGTTTGCATGATACAAACAAGGTTGTATATTAAATTTGAGTTTTAGATTTTTACAAGATTATACTATCATATTATCATTTGAAAATTACCATATAATAATGTATTATATATAAAATTATTTTTAAGTCATATGTCTAGCGTGGGCCACATATGCCCTTGTAAAAACATAAATTCATTTTTTTTGTTTTTAACGTACAACCTTGTTCCATTGGGGCAGCAAAATATTGTCAACATTTCTTTATATAGGAAAATACAAGAAACACTACTAAATCTTTACAAAATAAATAAAAATATACTAAAACATTGTAAGGTAAAATAATTTAAGGATATTTTAAAATACTAAATTTAAAATGTTACGTCAGGTTTAAGTATTCAGAGCACTTTGTAAAAAAACGTGGACTAATTAAAAAAACTTATTATGTAGGTTAGGTAGAAAGTACTCTATTTAGTAAAATTAATAGGGACACATCCAATATTTGTTTTTAATTTTGAAATACTTGAAAGTACCAAAGTACAAGATTAGTACTCGAGTACCACTCAGTTCTTGATGTAATAAACTTTTTTTATGGCATTAAAGTTTTTACTGATTTTGGTTTTTGGTCAATTCTCATATAACTTGTTCCGATGCTGTATCCACTTATTTTTGTGAAAACTAATTCTCGCTCAAGGTTTTTTTTAGTGTAATAAGCATGTAGCATTTCAAGGTAATGGGAACTTAAATTATGACAACCCTAATCTATTAATTTTTTCCTAAAATGCAGGCTTTATGTTGCAAATGTCACATAAGTTACCGGTCACCAACTGCAACATCCTAACATCGATGAATATTTCAACAAAATGGCCGTTCAAACAACTAATGTTAGTGCTTGATTAACTAAAAATAGACTTAAGATTGACAAAAAATTATTTTATCCGAAATCGGCAGTAAAGTAGTCAACAATCGTAAATTAAAATAAATCGGCAGTAAAGTTCTACTTTACTGCCGATTTCGGATAAAATAATTTTTCGTCAATCTTAAGTCTATTTTTAGTTAATCAAGCACTAACATTAGTTGTTTCAACAGCCATTTTGTTAAAATATTCATCAATGTTAGGATATTGCAGTTGGAGACCGGTAACTTATGTGACATTTGCAACATAAAGCCTGCATTTTAGGAAAAAATTAATAGATTAGGGTTGTCATAATTTAAGTTCCCATTACCTTGAAATGCTACATGCTTATTACACTAAAAAAAACCTTGAGCGAGAATTAGTTTTCACAAAAATAAGTGGATACAGCATCGGAACAAGTTATATGAGAATTTACCTTTTGTCAAAAAACTCGTATGTCTCTTAAAAGGATTCTTAAAACTAATACTTTTCAATGTAGTTAGTAGAAGTAAGTACGCATTCGGATATATACTATATACACGTAATAATCACTGCACAAACAAAAACACCAAGGAAAATTTAAACCATCTGTAGTCCTTTAGTAATATTTTCGACGTGCTCCTTGGCCTTTAACCTAAGGGCGGCTATCGAGGTAGTCCTTAGATCAGGATTGTTGGAGTTGATCATGTTGGCCATGTTTTGCTGGTGACCGTGCGCCACTGGCGGCCTGCTAGGGTCCGACGCCACTGGCGAGGTCAAGTAGCTTGGGTACCCCGTTTGTGGGTGGCTAAGGAAGCCTGGCAGGGCGGATAGTAGCGGAGGGGATAGCCAGGGGTCCATGGGGAGCGAAAGGCTGGAGCCGGCAGCTCTGGATAGTGTGGCGGCGTGGTATTCGGATAGGCCTAGGCGAGCGGCTTCCATTTTTTCCTGGCGCCGCCATTTTGCGCGGCGGTTTTGGAACCAAACCTGGAATCAAGAGAAAATTAAAATTTATATTTTATTATATTTTTTTACAATGTTCAAAAGTCCCGGGACTTTTGGGAACCCCTGTATATATATATATATATAGGCTATACATGGGTAATTTTTTTATTTACAAAGGGTTAAATTAGGAAAAAATTGCGTAATTACAAGCCCATTAAAATTAAATTGAAAAAAAATAGGGGTTCTCAAATAATTTAGAAAATACTAAAAACCTGAAAGGTTTTTCAAATTTGAATAGGCTAATAATTACATCACTTTTCTCTAAGTTAACAGACCTTGTATCTCTTAAAATAAAAATTAAAAAAACAAAGTATACCATACACATTGGTGCACCCTGTATAAGATATTAACAAGTCAAACGCTCAACTTTCAGCGGTCGCGCATATTATATAGTGGGATCAGTCACCGATAACCAAGGAAGACCTGGAATTAACAATTTTAATGTCCACAGCACAATAAAATAAAAAATTAGACTAGACAAAAACATTATTTTTATAAATTAATATTAAATTTCAAAAATTAAAATATATTTTTTTAAATTTTAGTATGACCATTATAATAATATTTCTAAATATTTTTAAACTAAACATTTTATTCAAATACACTCACAGGCAAAATAATCGATCCACACAAAGTTTCGATGAATTTCAATCGCAAATAACTTTTTTATATGCTTTCCAATTTAAACAAATATTAAAGAATATTGTAGATAAATTAATGGAGAATCGCACATTTTAAAAATTACTAAAAAATAAACGTACGTTTATAATATACAGGTTTAAACAAAAATATGTTTTTTACTATAAGTTTAAGACACTCTGTAGAGTTGAAAAACCGTATATTGTTCTAAATTAAGTTTTAAGTATCAAGTCACATCTATTTTTAACAGTTTTGTTTTTGGTTCACCTTGATGTATAAATTTGGAAATATGGAATTAAAAAAAAAAAACATTGCAATTTCCAATATTTTTTCTGTACGAAGAACTAAGGTTGCTATGGTCCATACATAGCCTATGGAGGATGACAGTGACAGTTTTGTTGAATCATCCTATACTTGGCCATGTCATATACGGCTTTCAAAAGCTATCAAATTATTTTTTGTAAATTAATGTGTTAATTTTGAGGTGTCTTCTTACTTTTAAAATTGTACTTTACTTCTTGTGACGTTTAAAACACTTGCCACGTAATACTGTGACCGTCCATCCTGAATTAAATCAATGACTCTGGCTTGATAATTAAAACTTTTCCTCCATAGCTATGGATGGAGCATAGCAACCTTAGTTCTAAAAAGTTCGAAAAATATTAGAAATTGCAATATTTAAAAAAAAATCCATATTTTCCACAAAAATAAATATATTGAGGTGAACCAAAACAAAACTGTTAGGAATAAATGTGACTTGATAATTAAAACTTAATTTAGAACAATATACGGTTTAGCCACTCTACAGAGTGTCTTAAACTTATGGTAAAAAACTTATTTTTGTTTAAACCTGTATATTACATACAGTACATCTATTTTTTAGCAATTTTTTAAAATGTGAGCGATTCTCCATTAATGTATCTACAATATTCCTTAATATTCATTTAAATCCGACATCAAATAAAAAAGTTGTTTGCGATTGAAATTCATCGAAAATTTGTATGGATCGATTATTTTGCCTGTGAGTGTATAATGTTTTTTATTATTTAATAATAATAACATTAAAATTTATTATTTAACAACTCTTTTTAAAATATTATTTTTATTATGTAGTTTAATTCAAAATTATTTTAATTTTTGTAAAATTACCAAAATAATGCGAACGCAACAAATTCACTTAACAAACCAATCAATTGATATTAACTTTGATTAAAATTAAAATTAAATTGGTATTTTCTGATTTTTCAAATTTTTTTATGTAGGTTAATTAAGTTAAGTTAAGTTAACTAAGTTTGATAATTTAAATTTAATCACAGTTTTCCCAATATTTTTGTTAATTACTTACATAATCTTATATATTTATATATATATATATTTGTTTTTCGTTCAAAAATAATTTAACTAAAACGAAATTATACTTTTTTAAATTACGAAATAAAAAAGTAGACCTGAATATTTTAAAGCAAACTGTTCTGCATTTTCAGTTTTGTACACATTAGCGCTCAAATTTACCGATTCTCTAGTTGATTACATACACTTTGGGGAAAATGCTTTTACCGTAAAGCAAATAAGTAGTTAGGTATGAATCAAAGATAGCATCTACAGAAAATGGAATTAATGACATAAAGTGGTCTAATTTTGTTTGCCTTGTTTTTTTGCTATTAGATCAATTTACAACCATAATAAATCAACTAACAAGTGTTTATTTTAGAAATAACTTATGTCATTAGCATTAAACATGTCGTGTCATTTTCTACTTTGGTTATTATGTTTTTACATGAACTATTTTTTTTAAGTTTTAAAAAAATAAATAAATTATTCCCTACTTTCTTACAATAACAAAAATGCAATTTTGGTAAAAATATAAAATAATTTAAAATCCCTTTTTAACGAGTTCCTTATGGTTTCGCGTGCTGTTATTTGCGTTTAATTTATTTTAAGGTTTCCTGAAGTTAAACTATAAAGGAAAAATAGTTGGCATATTTGTTTTCGGAATGAAAATATCTCAATTAAATGTTAAGCTTTTCTACAGCCATTTTAATAATTCAACGGATATTACCTACAAATAAAAAATTATCGACATTTTATTTGGATAAAAAATAATTACTAAAAATGTTAGGTTTGTTGTGTATTAAATTGTGATTTTTGATGGGTTTTTATGTTTAATGAATATAATTTTTTATTTTAATAATTATGGATCAAATAAAACTCTAAAAAAGTTAAGTTATGAGTTTAGGTAAAATTTACAAATATAAAATTAAATACAAATTTAGATTTTGTTCCAGTGGATATTGTATTAATATTATTTATTTATGCTCTAAAAAGTTATATATTTTTTGCAGAAGTCACGCCAAAATTTAAAAACAGGTTACCTATATATTTTATAATTAATGTTTATCTACTCCCACATTGACGAGCAGTCATTTTAGTCACATGCTGAAGTTAAAAATAGCTTTATTATAAATTGCAAAAAAGTGAGGTTAAATCCTTCAAATGTCAAATATTTATAAATTAAAATTGGGTTTAAATTTTTATTTCTGTTCGTCGTAGATAAAGTATAGCATGCAACACGTTTTATAAACTTCTCTAGACAACCGGTTTATTAAACGCTCGCTCGCAAGCTTCGCTTGTGCCTAATAAAACTCGTAACTAAAATGGCGTTTATAAAACTTGATACATAATATACTATTATTTACTCCTACATTGACAACCTGTGACTTTATGGCGTTTTAGTCACGGGCTGAAGTTAGAAACAGTGGCTTTTAAGCTTTTTAGTCACGGACTGAAGTTAGATTTGTTATAAATTGGGAAAACGTGAGGTTAAATTCGGGTTCCATTTAACACATATCAACTTTTTAACTAATACAATTGGCTTTAAATTCTGTTTTGTGTTCGTCGTAGATAAAGTAGTTTAGTTTTGTCAACTGCCAATCTTAAATCATTTTGACCTCTTGTATCATGCAAGTGATTGAGATGATTTTTTTTCAATTTTTGTTAAGACTTTTAGAACCAGACGAATACATTTATCGTCTTTGTCTCATTTAAACACAGTTTATTATCACCGAACCAGGTAGCAGTCAAGTTGTTAAAGATAGTTAAATCATTTACATACATTATAAAAAGAAACGGTCCAAGTACTGATCCCTGAGGAACTCCATAGACCATCTTACGTTTTTTATCCGACAAATAAGACTTGGATGAGCTATTCGAGAAATTATAGTCTTATTTTTTGAAGAAGCGCATGCTGAAGTAAGCGGTCAAATGCTTTGGATTGATTAATGTATATGTTAACCTGTACCCAATGGCATCCTATGCCTCCAACATTGCACAAGGTTTTAGTTTATGGGGCAGTAATAATTGAATAAGCATTGTTACCTATTGGTCAGCTTCCAGAGGAGGCAGCTGAAGCTCGTAATAAGCATTTCAGGAGTTATCGCCAAAACTTTGCGAAAATATTTTCTCGAGAAAACTGCAATGAGGACAAATTCAATCGCCTTTTACTTAGTTCAGATCCTATGTTGAGCAGCATGAGAACAATAAAGAAAAGAAAAGCTAACACGTTCTTGCCAGAAGCAATGTTCATCTCAGAAGATCCATACATGAGCAATAATTCATCAGATAGCGATAACGAAATTAACTAACTTAATTAAAAAAATGCTGAATGCTAATTGCATTGGGTTAATTGTACTGTGTTCTGTGGGTAGGAAAATGTACGTGTAATTGTAAGAAACTGACTAAGCATTTTTCTCAATACGCCATTGTGCCTTTTAATATTATATTTTATTATTATAAAAGTATTGTAAATTAACATTTTTTGTTAAAAACAAGTTCATTCATCTATTTGCATGGTTTAGATACCAAAGTATACAAATAATTTTGGCCGCTCAGATCGTGCAAATACCTGTATGTGCAACGTGATGTAATAATAAATACGGGTTGACAATATACAAAATAAAATTATACAAATTACATTTTGTTACTGTGCAATAAGAAGTATAATTTTTTTAAATCATTAGGGTATATAATGCGACTGACAATGTAATAATAGTACTAAAAATTTATATCCATTTCAATAACAAATAATAGACACCTGTATTTATTCGGAAATCATTATACAATGTTTGACAAGGAATGATTCCATTAGCATTACTATACAAACACATAATATGGTATTTTTTCCAAACAATAAACAACATTAGGTAATCGATCTAATTTACTAACAATTACCATATATAACATTTAGGTTGTCTATTTAAATAGATTTTGACTATTAATTGCGGCAATTTTCATCAAACTTTAGTGGTACTTAATAAAATATGTATAATATACCAACCACAGTTTTT